TTAGTTGGTTAGAGAGCAAAACTGTAACAGCAAGTTCAAAGGTTCAGTTCCCCACACCAGGCAGCCAACCTGACCCCACCTCCCACCAAAAAAATTGCAAAGAAATTTAACAGATATTTCTCCAAAGATGATATACCATTGTCTAACAAACACGATAAGATGCTTGACATCATTAAACATTAGAAAATGCAAAACCACAATGAAATATTGCTTCACACTCAATAGAAAATAACAGGTTTTGGTGAAATTGTAAGTTTAGTATGCTGTGGGTGGTAATGTAAAATGTTATAGCCCCTCAACCATTTAAAAAAATGCACTCACTTCTCAAAATATTTAAAATGGTATTACCATGTGATTCAGAAGTCCAAGTGCAATATATATATTCAAAATGACTAACAGCTGGATCTCCAAAAGATATTTCTACACCAGTGTTCATAGAAGCATTAGTCACACAGTGAAGTGGTGCAAGCAAACCAAATGTCCGTTCTTGAATGGATGGATAAACAAATTGTGGTATATACACAGAAAGGAATATTATTCAGCCATAGAAAGAAATGAAATCTTGACATATGCTATAATAAGGAACAGTGAGGACATTATGCAAATTGAAATAAGCCCCTCAGAAAACCACAAGTATTGTATGGTCCCACTGATCTGAGTCAAATTCTGGGAAAACAAACTAGAATGTCAGAAGCCAAAAGCTAAAGGAGGGGAAAGTTGAGGGTTGTCATTTAATGGATATAGAGCTTCAGAATTCCAAGATAAAAAATTTCTGGACATCTCTTGCACAACACTGGAAATATACATAACACTATTTAAAGGTAAAAAATGGTTCAAATGCCAAATAATTTGTTAAGTGTATTTTTCTTTACCAAAACTAAAATTAAAATAAATTATTTTAAAAACTAATAGAATGAACTAAAATATTTAAAAATATTTGATTAACTGAAAAAAAAAATAGGAAAAGAGGAAAAGCAAAGTATTAAAATGCACATGAGACAACAACAAAAAGTAGCAAAATGGCAGACCTAAATCTACTTAAGGCAAAAACTATCAGATTTGATAAGAAAGTAAGACCCAACAATATGCTATCCAGAGACATACACTTTAAATACAAAGACACAAACAGACTGGAAGTTAAAAAATAAAATTGAATTTAAAATACTGCACAAACACTAATTATGGAAAGCTTAAGTGGAAATATTAATACTAGCCAAAAGAAGCTACAGCACAAAATATATTACCAGAAATAAATGGAGCACTGAAGGATGTAGGCCACACTATTGCCTCCCATAGCAAGGAAAATGGAAATGATATCTCACCCTTTGCGAGGTCTGCCAAAGGAGACTTTTGTGAACAATGGGAAAAGTGCTACCTGGTCTCCTCTGTCACTGAGAAAATATGACAAGACAGATAAAGTAAAGATGGCTGGCTGGCCAGATCACTAAGATGGTTAGAGCACAGTTTTGATAACACCAGGGTCAAGGGTTTGGATCCCCATATAGGCCATCCATCAATAAATACGTAACAATAAAACAGAGAAAGATGTTCAATTTTCAAACAAAATTTAAAGAAAATATAAAGGAGCCAGAACTTGTGGATTTGTAAATAATACTACTTTTCAATGCAAGTTTTTTCCAACCAAGTATTTTTTTTTTGTCCTTTTTGAGACCGGCCACACTGCGCTCAGCCAGTGAGCACTGTGAGCACACCAGTCATCCCTATATAGGATCCGAACCCGCGGCGGGAGCACTGCTGCGCTCCCAGCGCCGCACTCTCCTGAGTGCGCCACGGGCTCGGCCTCCAACCAAGTATTTTTAAAGATACAAACTACTTTGTGGCAAGAATCACAGGGTTTGGGGAAAAAAAATATTTCCAGTATTCTACATACCACAGGGTGTGATACATAGAAAGTGTCTGATAAACAATAAAACTTCTTAAGAAATAGCTGCCTCAGAGAGAAGGGGAGGCCAGAGAAAAAAGGGCCTAACACAGAGGTAGCATTGGTATAGTGGATTATAGTAGAATGGAAGCCTGTGCTTTTTAAGGATATCCACAGGGTAATTTCTTGTATCAAAAGGGGAAAATTAGAAAAAAAAAATTTTTAAGGGTCATTGGTTTTTCAACTACTATAACCTAAAAATAGGCAAAAAAAAAAAAAAAAAATTGGTCAACTGCAAACTCAGGCATTTAAAATGGATGTTGACAGAGAATAGACAGAGCCAAGAGGGCATAATGCAGAAGCAGGAGGCATCTTTTCCAGAGATCAACATGGAGCCCTAAACAAAGAACTAAACCAGATGCTCAATGGGCATAACTAACTGCTCAGACCACATCTGCAGGGTGCTGCCCCTTACCACCCACACTGTCTGAAGGAAAGGTCCCACATGTTTATGCCATTCTCCTCACTGTCACCTGGCCATTTGTTGAGGAGATGAAGATAACAGGCCACTGGACATGACTGAGTTGGTTTTTCGACCAACTGCATAACAGCAGAAGATTTCTAGGGCTCTTGAAAGAGGCAAAGTATATTTTGCATGTGGTAGAAATTTATGACCAGAAGGAAAACTGTAGTCTATTAAAGACTGCTGCAAAGTCTTGCTATCTCTCTTATTGAGAGCTGGAATCTAATTGCCTTCCTCTTGCATCAGGGCTGCTCTTAGTGATGTGCTTGACTAAGAGAATGTGGTGGGAGACATGCTTTGGTATCTGAGTAGAGATAACCAGAAACCTTGCAGCCTTCAGGGCCTCTTGGACAACTGCCCTGGGAAAAGCCAGACAAACCTGACTAACCTGAGACTGCCAGACTCTGAGAAAGCTCACCTGGCCACAAAGAGAGGGCTGGATGTCTGCCCAATGTCTCCAGCCACTACTGTTCTCCCACGTGAGACCAGACACATCATGCAGCAGCCAACCCACACTGCCCTTTTACAGTCTACTTAAACACAACATTCCAACATGGAGTAAGGAAGAAATTCTTATTCTGAGCAACTAAGTTTTGTGTCAGTTTGTTACACAGCTGATCACTGGAACACCAACCAAGTCATTAGAGACCATACACAGTACTCTGCTATACGATAGGAAGCACATAGGTCCACATTGAACATTAGGTTCAAAATAAATAAAGCCACCATTTCACATCTTATGATACATCTCAAACTCTAACTGAGATTGACAACTTTCAGCTAACTAGTTTGTCACTTTCCTTTCTTAACCGTTAGCTATGGTTCTAGTTTATAAACATTCTGATGACTAATGTGCACATCCATTTTTCTCATTCATTTCTAAGTGATTACCTGAAATAGGAGAATAAAATACAATATGTCAGAAAGTTTAAAAACATGACAAGACTTTTCGAACTAAAAAATCACTGACAAACTTATAAAACCAAGATTTATAAATTATGAAAATTTGCAATTTGTTTTTATTCTTTGCATGCCTTTCTATTGGCTCTTCACAAAACATGTCCCATTAACTCCTGAATGTTTTCTCCCCTCAGACTCTTAAAGATGTCACCACAGGTGCTGGTTAGAAGCACAGGTCACCAGGGATTGAACCTCATCACCCAGGAAATATGCCCTTCAGGTTTTTACAAAAATACTCCCAATGGAACAAAGCTATAGTCTTTGTAAGTACCAACACCTCCTCCCCCTATATAAGCAGTGTATACAGATATAAGAATGGACACCACAAAGGACTGGACACAAGAAACAGGGAAGAGTCCAGGAACCAACCCATTTCACTGCCTTGGGTCACTGCCTGGATAATAGTGATACCGCATGTACAAGAAAAGTAGACATCATTTTCATTTTGGATTCACTGACCTTAAGATAATTTTTGAATAGCTACAAAAAGCCATCAACAGCAAGTTCAACTTATGGTCCAAGGAAAATGGAAGAAGTTCAAAAGGGAAGAAGCTAAAGAGAGCCAAGAGTGCAGAGGACAAAACTACAGAGGACAGAATCCGTCAAGAAGAAAAGCACAGTGAGAAGAATAGTGTCCAAAATGAAGCAGTGTGATGAGCTATGTTAAGAAGCAGAAAGGAGAAGAATCAGAAGAAAAGAGAGAAAACCATCAGTAAGGGCACGAGAGAAACTACCTAACACAGAAGAATTTCCAGGAGAAGATCATGAACAGCAGTTTCAAATGTGGCAGAAGATTCGAGTTAGAAAAAGACTAGAGAATAGGCAGTGGATTTCATTGTAATTTAAGTGATAATTCCACATTTTATCCATGAATCAAGTACAGTCTTCCAAACCTGTACACAAACCACAGGGCATGTGAGTGAAGCCATCTTGAACCAAGAGCTTCAATCACAGCACCAGGTGACTAAAGGTGCATTTGCCATCCAGGCAACGCTAGCATGAGAACTGCCCAGCTGAGAACACCCAACATGTTGATCCATAGAACTTCAAGAAAATAAATGGCCTGATATTGTAAACCATTGCACTTTGATTTGTTCTTATACAGCAAATATTATATGATACATGTAAGCCCCCAGAACTCAGGATATTTTAACAAAATTATGATGGTGTGAAAAGTCTTATATTATATGCAACCTTACAGACTGCTTATTCAGCAACATGTGCCTTAGTACTCGCTAACAATTTCCACTGTGGAAAGCTATGTGTTTATTTCCAGGTTGGCAGTCAAAAACTTTCTAATAGAGATGGTATTTCTGAATTTAGTGCCCATAAATTCTCATATCCCATGAAAATTTGACATATTTTCTTCTCAGATTCCACTCCAATCATGTAAAAAAAAAAAAGTGTCTCCCTTTTTGACACGACATCAGAAAGACCAGAGACAAATTTTTACTCAACTGAGATGACTCTGAAGTCTTATACCTTGCTATACATACATGCAAACTTTACCTTACATATGTACATTTCCTTAAAGCTGAGGTTTACTCATTTCTACTTTTCCATTTTAATTCATGCTCCCCTTAATACCCAGGTAATACAGTGAAAAAATGAGAAATAAATAAAGAAACAACTCACCGGAGATTTATCCATCTTTTCTTACTCTTGGAGATGCATATGGCACTCTGGCAGCTTAGCTGGGAGAGGAGGGAATGGAGTGGATTAAGGAGAGAACTGCTGTGACTTGACCCTGGATTCTCCTTACCAAAACTCTTTACACATTAGCTGGAAAAGACAAACAAACTAAAAGCCTCCCTGTGAGAAAACAATCCTTTATGGTCAATAAGGTACAACAAAGACCCATGAAACTTGCATCTGGAAGTACATTAATTAATACACATTAAACGCAAAATTTATTTATGGGTTAATGAAAACATACATTACCTACTGATTTGGCAAGAACCAATGTTACCTAAACACACAAGTTAATCATTTAAACCAAAGAAAAACACATTGTGTCATTACTAAAACTAATGCTATAAAAATATAGTTAGGCTGTATTAACTACTTTCATATTAATATAATGACTCAGCACATGACTCCAGATAACTGTTTCCACTACAACACATCTTATTTATATGTTCCGAAATATGTTTAGTACGCATCTTGCAACCTAATATCTTTTGCCCATGATTATATAGGTAAAAAATGTACATTATATATATTTCTTTTGGTACACTATTCGAGTAAGATTACCCAGTGATGCATCTCCCTGCACCCAAACCCTCATGTAGTATGCTCTGACAATGAACTCGGTTTGCTATTTGACTTGCCTTGCCCAATGACACATTAGCAAATGTCATGCAAACATAATTTTGACAAGTACTGGCCACTGGTGCTTGCCTTCTTAAACACAATCATAGTGTGAAGAAGCCTGGGGCTACACTTTTGGAGACACAGGCCCCAGCCAAGAGTGAGCACAAACCACAGGATATGTGAGTGAAGCCATCTTCAACCAACCAGTCTCAGTCAAGGCACCAGGTGACTAAAGCTGAACTGCCCAGCTAAACACAACCAAAATGTGGATTCCTAAAACTTCAAGAAAATAAAATGGCTGGGTTTCTAAAGCCATTTGGGTTTTGATTTGTTCCTTACATGGCAAATGCTAAATGATACACCTAAGTCACCAGAACGCAATATGTTTTGAACAAAATTATGTGGGGGAGAAAGCCTTAAATTACATGTCAGATACAATCAATATACCTTCACAACCACAGGGAGAAGTTTTGAAAATTACAGTAAATGTCAACTAAGAGGACTTTGTTGAGGTTCCTGGCACTAATGCAGGCCATGTGAACCATAAAAAGCTATTGTTTGCACATCAGTAAACTATGGTGTACGTGGATTTGCTGGTTTTCTTTTTTAAAAATATCAAGTAGAACTTGTTTATTTTAAAAACATAAAAAGGGTCTGTTTCTTATAAGTTAGAAGTAAACTGCACCAGGGTAATTTCAAAAGTTCATGGAAAAATATAATTAAAGGAAAATAGGGATCTCTCCATAAAGTTTCTGAAGCACACTAGTATTGCAATTTTTCCATTTAAGTAATGTAAAATTGGCTCATATGTATATATCAGCAAAATTTGTGTTTTTCAAGAACAGAATACTGACATTAAGAGAAGTACTTATGTTATTTACTCTTTGTGCTGATATGACCCACAGAAAGCACTGGAGATGAAAAAAGGATAGGGACATTTGAGGCAATGTATGTATATTAAAGCATACATTGTTCTAAGTTGAGTTCAGCGTTACAAAAGTAATCTCAACAGTGCACAAACAGTTGTTTTGATGGAAGTGTGGCAAAATGGAGAATACTAAGCAAAAAGTCAGGATGTCTAACATCAATAAATCATGTGACCATGGGCAACTCACATTTCCTCATATCCAATTATTTTCACTTTTCTTCCAAGATAGAAATATCTGGCAAAACATTCCTGAACTACCAAAAAGAAACTACGAAGATATAACACCATCAGCATGTCTCTAGATGCCAATATTGGTGATAGGCTGCGTTTGAGAGAGCTCAGACACTGGGAACAATGAGGGAAAACTGAAGGAATAGGAGTGTGTTCAGAGAGCACTGCAGACAGATCCTCTCAGCTACGACAGGTAATTCCTGCACCCCACAGAACACCTTCAAAACCCTTTCAGTGAGTAACATTTCCTACGTCCTTGCCTATTCTCAAACTCCCTCTCTCTTTAGAAAGTTGGCCCAAAGCTTCCAATGTCATGCAGTCTCAGGTAGCTAATGAATGAGGTATTATCGGCCAACTCTTGTGCACTGTAAGCACTAGACGGAATAACTGCGTGGGCTGTGAAAGCTACGTCTTTCTGGGACACTTTTGCCTCCGCTCTGAAGCAGTCCTGAGAGGGTTCAGGCCACAGTGACGTTCTCCTAAGTGGGATTCTTATCCATATTCATAGGCCGCCTTCCCAAACTCTGTACCCCTGTATCCCAAAGAAAACCAGAATGTCATCCTATGCCCCAATGTTCCTCCTAGCAGTCACTGTCCCTGAAAACTTGGTCTTATATCAACGTCTGTAAACTCAGACCAGGAGTGCTAGGCAGGCTGCACAGTGCAGGAGGGACCAGAAACTTGACATCCTGAAGAGAAACCGAGAAACCGCGAACACACACAACTGCCACAGAGGAACAGTCTGCACACACCTCATAATTATTTCTCTGGGAATATGGGGGCATTACACTAATGACAACACGCTCATGTTACAGACGGGTAAAGTGAATGTCCTATAGGTCGGTACCAGGTTCCTGGATGGCGGACCTGGAACGTGGCCTTCCGCACACCTCCCAGGCTCGCTGTCTTCACACACCCCCACCCACGTTCCCGTCGCCACCTTGGACATGTGGAGCCGGCTTCTGCACACCCAGCAGCGCCGTCCTCTGACGGAGCCGTCGTGGAAAGCGCAGCCCGGGCGCCCCTTCCCCGGCCCGGCCCGGCCCAGGTCCGCCCTCGCGCCGCACGTCAGGCCCCGCCCGCCCGAGACCCGCGGTGCTTCAACTCCTCAAAGTGCTGGGACACCAGTCCCGCTCCCCAGGGTCCCCGAGGCCCGTGTGGCTACTTTTTCACCTTCCCACCCACCTTCAGGGAAGCACAATCCAACCCAGGAATCAGAGGAGCAGCTGGAGACAGCGGCAAAGCCCGGAAGCTCCACATAAAAGATGGCGGAGTTCGCGGAGTCGCACATGCGCAGTACTAACACAGAAAATCCTGTCCCATAGTCGTCCTCCGAGGGTGACGTCATTGCAAGGCAAAACTACATTTCCCTGACGGCGAGGTGAGCGAAAACGCACATGCGCAGAAGAAACACAGGACTTTTTCTACAGTCCTGAGCCTTTGACGTTAATGGTCAGCGAGACTACATTTCCCAGAATACTCTGGGGCCCTACATTAGGAAACAAAGGAGAAAATTTTATTAAATTTTCCCTGCGCGGAGTACTGTTACTGGGATGTCAGGCCTTGTTGGGTCAAGACTGGTCTCTACCCACGCAATACACTAGTCTCTATGCCACAGATGTGGAATTCTGCTTTTTTATTAGATGTTGGTTTGACAACCTGAGTCATTGTGTCAGTAATGGGGAAATTCCAATGGGGCCAGATATAGCTGTTATACAACCCATGTCTATTTTTTAACATGCATTTTAAAGTATGAAAAATCATACCACTATTTTATTTTAAATGAATTAACAAAAAATTGACATGGTAATTTTCTTTCAAAACTGTAAGAGATATTTGTTCTCATCCAGTAAACTAAATTGTGAGTCTTGATGCATTGTATTACACAGTTAGAAAAACTGCTCTAGTGTATGGTGAAATAAAATAGCAGGGTCATAGGGTACGGGCATTTCTTAATCCTTGTGCCAATATACGCTTGCAGTGTCTGATGATTAATTGCCCAGAAATTCCCATGTTCTGTTAACCCATGTGTCCCTTTATTAAATCAAATTTTAGGAAATATAGCAATATGATGGAAAAGACGGTTCCCAGCATCACTCTCTCCCACAAGGCAACGAATTTATGACTATAAAAATGTAACATCAGCCAAGCTGGGGCTGCTGGAGCTCAGGGGAAGAGGAGGAGAGACCTACGGAGTTAATGAAGGCAGGAGAAACCATGATGAGAGAAAGAAAAAACTGCTCTGAGCACTTCGGTCCATGGCTTCTTTAAGGCTGGGGCTGATGAATTCATGGAGCAGGTGCCAGCAGAAGCCATAGCTGTGCCCTTCAGGTGGAGTTACTTGGAGGCGGCAGGGGAGAAGAGGGCCTTGGCGACCCCAGGACAGCAAGACCACTAATAGGGTTCTCGTGGACCCCCATGGACCCAAGGCATGAACACGAAAGAGGACTGTACCCCCTCCCACAACCAGGCACACTGTGTCAGCACCTTGGGGCCTGCACGGGGACCCGAGTGAGCAGTCAGAACAACTGAAAAAAGGGACCCATTCAGAGGCTGCTGAGTCATTGCAAGGGAACGGCACAGGGCCCATCCCATGGGAAGCATTTGGAGCATGGGCAGTGGAGAAGACAGGCCCACCTGGAGAACACTGGGACACAGCAAGGACAGCCAATCTGCCCCCCAATCAATGCAGGACCACTCAGAGGAGACTGGTCAGGAATGCAGAATTGCATGGGGTGCAGTTTGATGAAAAAACTCAGGCCCAGATCAGAGTTTCTACACAACACAGATCCACTGGGTCACTGGATTGCTGGAAGTACCTATAAGGTCAACCACTAAACCCTGAGCTGCACAAAAAGTCTTCCCTAGGGAATCAGCAGCAAAGCAGCAATTTATCTAAACTACACAAGTCAAGTACTGGTTCCCACAGGAAGTTCCCCCATTTTAGAAGTAAGCAAAGGACAAAAAATTAGTTGTGGATGAGGCACACCACCAGCACCTTGGGGCCTGCCTGGGAACCAGAGGCATGGAACCAGGGACTGGACCCCCTTCCCACAAACAGCCACACACCATGCCAATGCCTTGGAGCCCACCTGGGGACCTGAGGTATGGAATTGGGGACTGGATCCCCCTCCCACAACCAGACACACCAAGCCAGTGCTTCAGGGCCAGCCAGGGACATGAGTCATGGAGAAGGGGGCCAGACTCCCCTCCCACAACCATGCATACCGTGCCAGTGCCTTGGGGCCCACCCAGTGACCTGAGGCTTGGAGCCAGGGACTGGACCCCCTTCCACAACCAGGCACACTGTGCCAGCAACTTAGGGCCCACCCGGTGACCTGGGCCATGAAGAAGCAGACCGGAACCCCCTCCCAGAACCAGGCACACCACACCAGCACCTTGGAGCCCACCCATGGACCCAAGGCATAGAGAAGGGGACCAGTCTCCCTCCCACAACCAGACACACTGCGTGAGCACCTTGGAGCCCACCCAGGGACCTGAGGTATGGAGCCAGGGACCGGACCCCCTTCCCACAACCAGACACACCATGCCAGTACCTCAGGGCCCACCCATGGACCTAAGGCATGAACACGAAAGAGGACTGGACCCCCTCCCACAACCGGGCACACTGTGTCAGCACCTTGGGGCCTGCATGGGGACCTGAGGCATGGAGAAGGGGACAGGACCCCCCCTCCCATAACCAGGCACACCATGCCAGTGCCTTGGGGCCCACCCGGGTAACCGAGGTATGGATCTGGGGACTGGACCCCTCCCACAACCTGGCACACTGTGCCAGCACCTCGGGGCCTGCCCAGGGACCCAAGACATGGATCTGGGGACCAGATACTCCCCACAACCAGGCACAATGCCAGCATCAAGGAGCATGCCAAAAATATCACCTCCATGTGGGTAGCCCACCACAGCCACCACCATAACCATGGCTTCTGCAAAGCTGGCTAGATGCCACAACCACCATGCAGATGGTCCGCTAGCCACTGGAGTGCATTGACACAAGGAGAGTCACCAGCAGAGATAAAGACAAGAAGAGGATGTCTCTCCTCACAAAGCCCATTTCAGAGTGACAGAAGAGGCATCTGCTCTATGATAATATTGGGGGATCTGATCACACCTCTCAGCATTGGACAGACCATCTAGGCAACAAATCAACAGAGTAACCATTACTCTGTCAGAAGGAGAGAAGAAATCTAGGGTAATTAGAGGGTGGGAGGGAGAGGGGGACAGGGAGAGATTAGACAAGGTGCATAAAGAATAATTATGATTTATAAGAATATATATGCTAGTAATATTGATTTGATCAACATATCTCAATGTTGAACCCAAAAAATATGTATAATAAGTTTTGATTCAATAAAAAAATTTTTTTAAAGTATGAATAAAATTTTGTTCTTCTGAGAAGATTATAATTTGGTATGAAGACATAAATATAAATACATAGGAGAAATAATGTGTTAGATGAACTAATTCAGATGCAGGTTAAATGTCCATTGGAATAAAAAAGATGTAGAAAATATGGTTCTATTTTTGTATTCAGTTTGCAATTCTCTGAAGTGCCAAATACGGTTAGCTCTTCCATGTGAACATGTTTTCTCATGAAAATGAGGCAACAGCAAAAGTCCAGTCAGAAGAGCAAAAAGAACACTCTCCCCATGTTAATGGAACCACGCAGAGCACCATGTCTAGATAAACAATTTGGGGCAGTGACGAGATATAAATACAATATTGAAGCAAATGATTACACGATAATTACATATTTAACTATTTTACCTAATTCAAATAACAAAATATTTTATTTACTTATTGGTGATTTTTAATAATGTATAAATAAAAAGCACTTATCCAGGCATCCCAAAGTTTCCTTCCTACACACCAAAAGATTGCTTGTGCCTACCCCGTGGTTAACACTGCCACTTCCAAATCCACAAAATCTAAATAATTATATCCTATAAAAACAAGTAAGTTACATAAGCAGATCTGCATTTTCAGTCATTCACTAGGAGAATACAGAAGGTCTGGAGGGAGAGTCAGAGGGGAAGAAAACAGAGTGACAGATGACAACCTACAGAAAGACACAGAGCAGTAAGCATACAGAAGAGGGAAGTAATCTTATGAAAGACAAAAGAAAAAGAGAAAGAAAGAAAATAAGTGGTTTTGCCAATTTTGCACATCAAAACCAATTTGTTGTGCAGAGAGTAAAAATGGAATTTACCCACAGGTTGTCTACCTGAATGCAGCTAGTTAGGTCCTGGCATGGTAAAGAAAAATTGAAAAAAATGAAAGAAGAATATAATGGGCAGAAGTAATACAGACTTGACACATGAACATATTATATTTGGAATATCTGTGGGAATGTCCAAATGTTAAATAGATTATGATTTCAGACTTCAAGAGAGAGAGATGTAAGCTGAACATAAAATTTGAAAAGTATCAGAATTTCAATTGTACCTAAAGTCATAAGAGTAAATGAACTTAAAATATTATGGGGAAAAAAACACAACAAAAGACAAGTACCCAATCTGCAGAAACACTACTGTTTAAACATAGAGGAAAATAAATGACTATGAAGACTGAAAAAATATTTTCTGAGTTTATTTCATGAATAAGGAAAGCTCAACTTTAAGAAGCCTACCAATGCAATTTAACATATCTACAGCTTTATAGAGAAAAATCCTTTGATAATCAAGATAGACATTTAGATGGTACTTTTAGAAATACAGTACAGGTTTTTATTGTGTCACAAAAAAGCTAGAAAGTCATCACCTCATCCTAACAACAATTTAAAAGCTAAAGAGGCTGAAAAATCAACAGCACTTCTAGGATCACTAAGAGAGAATGGGACACAAGGTAAGGTGTAGTCCCCAAGATTAGAGACACATACAGGCAAGTACAGAGTCATGGTTTATAGGAGCAGAGACTTACTAGCAGAAACCACCTTGGAACCTGTGTCTGAGCAGGAAAAACTAAAGTGTGACTAATAAGTTTCTGGAGGCCTCATGTAGACAACACTGAGAGTTAAAGTCTCCAGGGGAACCCAGTTATAGGGAGACTTCCACAGTACTGTGAAATTTACCTCCAAGAGCTCAACCAAGTTCCTACTAAAAAGAGTAAAGAAAACTCCCTGTTGTTTCCACCTGTGATGGGGGGAAAGAAAATCCTTTTGAAACATGCCTGAGCACTCAGTTCTTCTTAAGAAGACATACACTCAGGAGAAACTTCTGAACTAGAGCCTAGCCTGCTGTACCATTATCAGA